CTCCCTCTGACGGCTGGGGTTACACTGTTTGTTTACACTCAGCATCATAAGTCTTCATTGTACTTGCCATGCCTGCGCCTGTCCCCATAGACTTCTATATGACGATCTCAGACCACCTCTGGCCTTGGGACATGGACCCATAGACTTCTGATGATCTCAGACCACCTCTAGCCTTGGGACACGGACCCACAGACTTCTGATGATCTCAGACCACCTCTAGCCTTGGGACACGGCCCCATAGACTTCTATCTGATGATCTCAGACCACCTCTAGCCTTGGGACACGGCCCCATAGACTTCTATCTGATGATCTCAGACCACCTCTAGCCTTGGGACACGGCCCCATAGACTTCTATCTGATGATCTCAGACCACCTCTAGCCTTGGGACACGGCCCCATAGACTTCTATATGACTGTCTTAGACCACCTCTAGCCTTGGGACACGGCCCCATAGACTTCTATATGACGGTCTTAGACCACCTCTAGCCTTGGGACACGGCCCCATAGACTTCTATATGACGATCTCAGACCACCTCTAGCCTTGGGACACGGCCCCATAGACTTCTATCTGATGATCTCAGACCACCTCTAGCCTTGGGACACGGCCCCATAGACTTCTATATGACGATCTCAGACCACCTCTAGCCTTGGGACACGGCCCCATAGACTTCTATATGACTGTCTTAGACCACCTCTAGCCTTGGGACACGGCCCCATAGACTTCTATATGACTGTCTTAGACCACCTCTAGCCTTGGGACACGGCCCCATAGACTTCTATATGACGATCTCAGACCACCTCTAGCCTTGGGACACGGCCCCATAGACTTCTATATGACGATCTCAGACCACCTCTAGCCTTGGGACACGGCCCCATAGACTTCTATATGACGATCTCAGACCAGCTCTAGCCTTGGGACACGGCCCCATAGACTTCTATATGATGATCTCCGGTCACCTTCAGCTTTGCAGTAGGCTTCTATGGGGCGGTGTCCTGAGGCTGTATACCAGGGGTGGGTAACACTGGCCCTTCAGCTGTGCTTTAACTACAAAACCCAACATACCTCTGAGAGTCATGCTTGTAACTGTCAGTCTTCAAATGCCTCAAGGGACTTGTAGTCCCTCAACAACTGGAGGGCCAGAGTTACCCACCCCTGTTGTAGAGCATCAGTGATCATCTATGGGGATGTAACGGTCAGGCCTGGCCAGTACGGTAAAGACTTGCAGCGCTAAGGAGTAAACAAGCAGAGGAAGCGTGGCTGTTGGATCAAGGCAAGTGTGATCTATGGAGGGGGGAGTGGGGGTTGGGTCAAGGGAGGGGGACAAAAAGAATAGAAGCACTTTATTCTATAGCCCACCTATCCTTTCATAAAAGGGACAAGCCACCAGAAATTTATATTTTTCCTTAAGCGGCCATGACACGGCGTTCCCACTCACTCCAATAATAGAGAATGAAGGAAAAGCAACAAGATTCCAAGATGGCGAGCAGGTTAGCCCTCTAAAGGGAACAACATTTCTTCATCAAAATGTCCAAAGGAAAGCTTGCAACCAAGAAGCAGCTCAGAGAACATCAGTCTATACCTCTGCCGGGGACTCATATGGATGAGGCACGGGGGGTCAGTAGCGCTCCTCGGCCACGGCACGCGTTCCAGGCTCGGTTCTGTTCTGGACTCCAGAATGACCGAGTGGTACACGCCGGTCACAGATCCAAGTGAATGATTTCGGCACATTTTAGGTCAGATCACCGCTAGGTTTGGAAAAAAGACTTTTGGGCATGCAGTTCCGCTGATATGTCACTAAGGGGCGCTAGAAGGAATACAGAATTTGCCGCCTAAAATGTGATAGTCAAAACGTCCTCCGATCTCTCCACGTCATTAAGAGGCAGAGAACGTTATTATTCGCTGTCCGCGTCATCGCTGATAATACCCTTTAAACCGGACCAGTCCATGGGCTTCTTCTTGCGGGGGGGTCC